CTGTCGGGCGACTGTTACTGTGTATTGTCTCTGTCCCCTTCTGGTCTGTTAATTTTAGGCTCTCTCTTTGCTTAGAGGACCTCTTTTAATATTTCCTATAGGGCTGATTTGGTGTTTGCAAATTTTTTTAATTTTTGTTTGTCCTGGAAGCTTTTTATCTCTCCTTCTATTTTCACTGACAGTCTAGCAGAATATAGTATTTTGGGCTGCGTATTTTTCTTGTTCAGTGCTCTGAATATATCACGCCAGTTCCTTCTGGCCTGCCAGGTGAGAACCTAACATCTTAAGAGTTATGATTCTGACCACCACGCTACAGATACTCTGTGTGCTCACAGAGCCAAAAGGGCCCCCGGATCATGCCCAGGGTGTGCACGGCTTGGCCCCAGACGACAGCAGGAGCTGCCCTGCCCCGCAGGCCCTGGAGCGGCAGCAAGGGCCTCCCTCCCCGCTCTCCCGCTCCCAGCGCTTGTGCCTTGCATGCCCGCTGCTCACCAGCTGAGCACCCTGGAAGGGCCCCCCCGTCCAAGCTAAGGTGCACCGCATCTCAGGATGACCGTTGGGACCGAGATGGGTAGACGCCGCCCTCACCATTCGCCTGCACGGCACACACTCTGGTGGGCACCATGGCCAGTCATCACTGCACACCCAGCAACAGGGCTCAGCGGCTGGGACAGCACTCCACGGTCCAGTCGTCCTCTGGGTTCAAGCAGGAGGAGGGAGAACAAGCTGATGCCTCTGCTCCACGTTCTCTGGGAGGGCGTCCTCCGGGGCTCAGCGAGTGCTGCCGTTTCTTCCTGCGGCAGGCCCCTCTCCCCACCACCGCAGGAACACCAGCCTGGACTGACCCACTGTGTGCGCAGGTGCATGCAGCCTGAGGGACCGCAGTCACCATGATTCAAGAATTACACAACAATGTCAGGTCTCCGGCCACACGGCATCCCCAAAACTTCATGTCTCCTGCCTCTGAGCCCTTCTAAGTCAGGCAACCCTGAAGCAGAAGAAAAGACGCCCTCTCCCTAGGCCGACGCGGCCACAGACGCAGGGAGCAGCACTCCGCAGAGATGGGCCTGCCCCTCAGCCGGAGCACACGCCGGCATGGAGCTCCTCAGGGAGCAGACCTCAGGGTCTCTGTCAACAGTCAACAGGTGTCACAGCTCGCCACCAAAAAGTTGCCAGGTGACAAAAGGTGGCACTAGAAAGTCCAGGAATGGCCCAGCAACAGCCACGAGTTAAGTCACATGACGGTAGGGACTGGATGAGCACGCAAGTGTGACACGCCCCAACACTGCGGGTCAGGAAAGTATTTATGGAACGGGGAGCGCACACTTTGCCCGTACGCCGAGGAACACGCAGGGCTTCCTCAGGGAGCATGTGTCGTTTGTGTCACGAAGAGGATCTTTTTGGGAGAGCACAAGCAAGAAGTGCTGACAGACACCCGCATGCGAGCTGCAGCCCCAGGCCAGCCGCAGCCGCCGCCAGCCGCGCGCAGGGGACGGGCAGGCAGAGGCACATCACAAGGGGGAGGGTGCACGCGTGGCTGTGGACGGCAGCCAGAGCCCCAAGGTGCAGCCGGGTGGCTGGCAGAGGAGAACCCAGTAGGAGGCCGGAGGGGAACTGGGCCAGCAAAGCCCCTGGACGGACCCCCTCCAGCAGGGCAGGCCTAGGAGCAAAGGGGCTCGGACCCACCAGGGCCACCAGAACCCAAAACTCAGCAAGGGGAGGCACTGCTGGGGGTGTGCACGGCTGGGTGCACCCGTGTGTGGCAGAGATGCAAAACGGTGTGGCCACGCCCACATGCCACGTGGTCCCTGGTCGTGAGCGTCAGACCCGCGTCCGGGAACAAATGTACTGCCAAGGCTCACAGCATCACAGCCGTCGGCAAAGCCCCAGAGGAGCCCCAGCGCGTCACAAGTAGGCCTGCTCTCGTGAAAACTTCCCGTCTCTGACTGGGGGGCTCTGGTCTTCAGGGCTGGTGGGTACAGAGCTGGGGCCACTGACTCGATACGCCTCCTTGCAGGTGCCTGTCCCCTGCTATCCGATCCCAGGCCCGCTGGAGGTGCTCCGGACCAGGAAGCCGACCTCAGGCGAAGGAGATACCCTCCGGAACCGCCCAACCAGTGCAAGGCTTTCAGAGCACAGCCAGGTCTGCTCTGGGAGGAAGGAGCGCTGCCGCGTCCAGGCTGCCGGCCAGCCCTGCACAGTTCATCTGCCCCTTGTCGCGAGGGCCGGTTCCACGACATGAGCCTCCCTCGCACTCGCCACAGCCTCCCACAGGCTCTGCCTCTGGAGAAGTCTGTAGACACGGGGATCTGGAAACCGGCCAGACCCGCAGCAAGAAGAGGCAGGCAAAGCAGAGGCACGGGTGGCACCAAAGGCCAGGAGGGCGAGCAGAGCCGCGGCCAGGACCCAACCAACAGGGCAAAAGCAGCAAGACCCCCCTGGGAGCGCACGGGACCCCCATGGGATGGGGCACCACGGCCAGAGCTCGGGCAGGAGCAGGCAAGCAGACCTCATCTCAGGAGAGGCTCACACCACCAGCTGAGGGCAGCAGGGTCCCTGTGAGTGCCCAGGCCCAGCACAGCTCAGGTGCCCGCCCCTTTCCAAATTCTCGGTGGGTAGACCTAGGAGCAGTGGCAAGCTGGCCCTGCAGGTGCAACACATAGGGCGCGGGACGCGGGGGCGCGGGGGGGGGGGGGCGGCACGGGGCGCGGGGCCGCCGGGGCGCGCGGGGGGGCGCGGGGGCGCGGAGGCGTGGGGGGCACGGGGCGTGCCCGGGGCTGCAGCCCTCCTTGTGACCGCCCCCCACCCCGCTGCTGAACCCCCCAAAGTGAGAGCCAGCTACTGCCCCTCGCGGTCACTCCAGAGGGACGGCTCTCGGCACACGCTGCCGGCCACAGCCCTGGGCTCCTAGACAAGTCTGTGCCAGAGGGTGTGGGCATCACTCAGCACGACCCTGGCGAGCCTTTGCCGAACCCCGTCAGGAACTGCCGACAGCAACTGTGAATCAGACGACGCCGCGCCACCCGCACGGGCTCCTCAACCTCATCAAACACCAGGGAGCAGCCCAAAGCGAGGAGCTCAAGTCAGCAGCCCACCGCCTAAAATCATCCTTCAAACTCCTGAGCCGGAAGCAAAGGGGACTGCAGGTGGGAACGCTCTTGGCCGGTGGGCAGGATGGGACGGAGCTGGTGCGGCCCGACAGCCCGGTCCCGCTCCAGCTGCCGCCAGCACAGCACCGGGCGTCCCACCCGACAGACAAACGGCTGGGCTAGAACAACTCCTTGGGACGCGCACAGATCCTCGGGCGGCTCACAGGCGGGGCCAGAGCTGGGGCGCGGCCATGTGGTCACGGGCTCGCCCCCCAAGGGGCAGGGGCAGCACCCCGGAAGAAGGCAAGGAGCACAGGCACCTGGGAGCCTACACTGGTTCCAGCAGAGGTGCAGAAGCAGAGGCAGAGGCCTGGAGAGCCTCAAGGGGCAGCTGTCCTCGTCCAGCCACGAGCAGAGCACAGAGCCTGCCAGGAGCGCCCCGGACAAGGTAAGGCGGCCTCAAGAGGGACACGAAATACCTAAACCATGCGGCAGCTAACACCAGAGTGTTCTAGTGAACTGAGGAAGCTGCTCTCTGGACGCCCCCCCAACCCAAGCCCCCACCCCACCCTCAGACTCGGCAGGACGCAAACTGTCCGCAGCTAAGAAGGAAACGGAGACGAGCAGTGGGTGAGACCCCCAGTCCCCAAACACTCAAGAGAAACACCAGGACGAAAGGTGCCCGTCGTTCCCAAGAGAGCAAGGTTTGCAGACTTTTTCACGATTACTTCTGCTTCATCAGTTTATCAAAACACGTCACGCCCACACGTCCTGAAACCCTAAGGGTCCCTGGTTACACACCAGCGTCTCACCCAAGCCTCTGTAAACGGTGAAAGCCACCGAGGTAAACCGTCTACACCCCTCAGCAGGCTCTCCGTCCTTGTACCGGAAGCAGAAGGGCACGGCATCCACAGAAAAGCAGGACGCTGCCCACGGCCTTCCGAAAACACAGAAACCAGGAGAGCACGGGCGGGCCCACAGCCCATCTTGGGGGAGAGTGGCCAGCGGGACGAGACCAGCTGAGCCTGACAAGGCACAGGCCGGGGGCCCTGCAGGGCCCGAGGGCCTCTGTGGGTGTCTGAAGGTGACATCCCAAAGCCACAGAAGGGACAGGGCATGAGCCCGCCGCCCCAAACCACGCCGGCCTGCTGAGCCGCACGTGGAAGGGCCCCGCAGGGCAGGAGACAGCTGGGCTCCTATCCCACTCGCCAGCAACGGATGGAAGAGAAGGGGCTGGGCCACAGTCCCCGTTTCACGAGCCAAGAGACCCCGTGTTTGGGCCTCTATCTAGCAGACGTGGACAGAGCAGAGGCGTCAACAGCGCTACGGGCAGCCGGCGGTCGCCCATCGTCTCCTCCGACCCGGCGCTTCCACGGCTAGTCTCCCCGAGGAAACCAGCAGCAGCTCAAACACACTGGCAGCCGTTCCTCACGGTCCCTCTATGGGGGGAGCCGTGGGGCTCTGGGGGTGAAAGGGGTGGACTAATCCACCTCCACGCCCGCCCATGAACATACACACGGAGCCTCCTCATGGCAAGGACGCCGACCGCACACAGCGTGTGCCCCACAAGCCCTGGATTCAAGGCTGTCCTGGCCGGTGCCGTGCGCGGAGCAGACACCTGGAGGGCTCACGGCGGCCCCAAGGTGGAGGGAGCACGTGCCCTGGGCTCCCCGCACTTCTTCACATTCTCGAATGTCCACACGCCGCACGTGACTTACAGACCAAGGTGGTGCCCGCAGGTGGCGCGGCCAGCTGAGCTCCAAACATCGCCGCCCCTTCCGCCGGGGCGGCCAGAGCCCGTCTGCAGCAGGGTCGCCCCGCCGACCGGGACTCTCACAGCAGAGAAACCCGCAGGTCCGGCACACGGAACACTCTTATCAACACAAGGGTATTCAGAAAGAGACGCCTTACCTTTTCCAGGACTAAGGTTCTGGTCTATGAAGACCTTGAGTTCCCCGTTGGCTTCAATTAGACCGGCCTGCGGAAGCAACAAGGACAGTAAATAGTGCGTCTGAGAGAGCGACAAGCCAGCCCGCCGGAGGGCTGCAAATTACAGCACTAAAGAGACACGACGGCCACCCTTACGCAGACAAGGACGGGACGCCATGCAGGGAGCACAGGGCCCCCCACCGCCGAGCTCTCCAGCCGGACCCTCGGCAGAGAAGAGACGTGCGGAGATGTCCGCCTTCACAGCTCAGCCCCGCGCGTGCGGAAACAGCTTCCGCGGAGGGTGTCAGCGTGCGTGTTAAAGGGCCGGCCTGGGCCCGGCGAGGGCATAGCACGGGGGGACGTGAAAATTCATCTGCCCGTCCTGAGAGCGGCCTCGTAACGGGACCTGGGAAGAGGGCCCCCCAGCGCCCCGGGCGCGGCAGGAGCGTGGGCACAGTGGCACTGTGAGGCGCGCCTGGCATGCGGGGCTCCCCGCCTTGTGAGCAGGACACCCGCACAGCACGAGGCACTGGGGGCACCGGGGGGAACGTCACAACGCACAGTGCGCAAAGGCACAGAAAAGGCCTAGCGTCCTCTAGGACGCTACCAGAGGTCGTGTCCAGGTCGAGGAATGACTGCTGCCTTGACTCCTCTAGGCTTCCCACGGAAGGAGGCAGCCGTGGGTACGCTCCCCTGTTGGCGGCCCAGGTCCAGAGCTCGCCCCCTTCACCAGGCACCAGCCGAGGGCCTCTGCACACCACCCTGAGCCGGCACAGGGCCTGGGGGGTCCTGGAAAACCAAGCCTCCTGCAGGCACCTGCTTCCACACTCTCATTCATGCACTCACACCCACAGGCACACACACGTCCACACAGACGCAGGTACTACACCCACACGTGCACAACAAAGGTCAGCCGCGCCCGGCAGACAAGCTCCCTCCTGCCCAGGCCTCTGACCGCTCCTGGCCCAGCAGGAGAACCCCCCAAGAACGCCCAGGCGTCCGGGGCCTAAGGCCCGTGTCCACCGTCACCTCAAACATACCCAGAGCGCATCCCGCGTCTGTGCAGGCACAGGCCAGCCTGCGGGGGGATGTGAGCACAGCTCCCAGCACCATCCTGCTCTTCCAGGAAGCCCCACGGCCCCCACCCTGAGCAAACGCAGTCCCCAGGGGGACAGCCCAGGCCAGGCCCTCCAGAGGGCCAACTCCCAAGCGTACCTGCGGCAGCGACAAGCCCGCCTGGGCCTGGCACAGGGGACCACCCACCTTGGGCCTGCGGCAGCCCGGGCACAGGCTGACCATCTCCACTGGGCGCACAGCGAACAAACCAAACGCACCCAAAATGCACAATCCACACACGGAATCAGAGCATTCGTCCCACCCGCTGAGTTCACCGGAGACCGAAGTCGGGCCGCACAGGGAGGGGCCCGCTGCACGGTCTCAGAACCTGGCAACACCACACAGGCCACGTTTCCCGGACTCTCCCAAACCCCAGCTTCCCACAGAAACGGAGGGAGCCAAGTGCGGGCCCACGAGGATGATCTCTACCGAGGCCCGGCTGGACTGGATGGTCACCGGCCGGGAGGCAGGTGAAGAGGACCTTTCTTCTTGCTGGGGGAGCAGCACCAGGCTGGTCCTAGCAAACAGGCTCCAAGGACCCCAGAGCCAAGGACACCAAAGGTCACAGAGAGAGGAGCCAGCTGAGGCAGGGGAGGGCCTCCGTCCCCCAGGCTGACGACGGCGCCTGTCAGACGGCCCCAGGCTCCTTGCAGACCCCTGGCGCTGCTGGCTCCTTCCGCCCACAGCCCCAAGGGCACTCCATCCCAGACAGTGGCCCTGACCTCCCTACTACCCGTCCGCACCAGAGCAAATGGAGACAAGAACCAGAAAGGCCCAAGGAGAACAGGGCCCATCGCTGCCCACATGGCTGAGTGGGACCAGCAGGACCCGGCGTGTGCCCCAACCTGCTGCCACTGGATGTCCTGCTTCCGCACGGCAGTCATGGGCACGGCGGTCCTGGCCGCTCATGGGAAGGCCAAGAACGCGGCCACGCCCCTCCCCGAGAGATGGCAATCACGGTTGGCAAAGGAGCAGCACAACCCTGGCAACCAATGCCTCACAACCCAAATCAGGAACCAAGTTGGGGAGCCCCAGCTCCCCCAGGGGACACCCAGTCCACTCACACTATCAGTCAACGCAGCCCATCCTCCCTGGAGCAGAGGGCTCCCTCTTCCCACCATGCAGTGCCTGCAGAAGGCATCCAATGAGCAGCCCGGGCCAGGAACAGACCAGCACAGCCCTTTCTGGCGAAGTCTGGGAACTGATGAAGAGGCCAGTCCCTCCCGCCCATCTCCATGTCAGAGCTGAGGAGTCACTGGAGAACACAGGGACCAGGACAGAAAGGAAGATGCTGGCAGAGCCAAGAGGATGAAGGGAGCCACCCGAGCCCTGGATGAGAGACGGGTCCACCCAGCAAGCGTCGTGTCTGCTCGCCGTCGCCAGGAAAACCCTAGCGTGACCGCCGCCTACACGTGCTTGGTAAGACCCGTTCTGTCTCTTGTACCCGCCAGCACGCCTGCAAGGGGGCCACGTTCGAGAGCCCCCACCACGCATGCAGCACACAGGGCCCAGCGAGAGCCCCGGGATGCACGGTGGCCCTGCCCAGAGCGGGCTGTCCCAGCAGCGCATCCAGACACAGGGCCGGGCGGCTCCGTCTGACGGGGCTGCCGTTCCTTGCCGGGCCAACAGCCCATGGGCCACAACCACCAGACACTGGCAGCCGCCAGCTGCGACCCTGCCTGGGTGCTACGGACCCAGGGACCCAGGGCCGTTTCTGGAACTACGCCGCCTCCACGGGATCAACTTCCCGGAGAGCTGCTGGTTCGGTAAACACGCACCTGCCTCGTGCCCAAGCCAAGACCTACAGCACAGTCAGTAAGACTCAGTGGGAAGTCCAGGCGCTGGCCACTGGCTCCTGTGGACGCCTGCACGGCCCGCACTTGGGACAGTGGCCAGTTGACCCGACAGCAAGTCTCCCAGGCACAGAAACGTCCGTGACACGACATGTCAGAACCACAGGAGGTACCAGACTGCTTCTCGCTAGCGAACGCAGGAAACAGACTATTTATTGCCAATGCTCTTGCTCAGGGTGCGATGGAGAACACGGTGCACAAAACCTACAAGGCCCCAGCAGGATGGCCACCTTGTCACAGGCAGACGCAGGAGCCCCGGGCCCCAGGTGCTCCAGCAGGGGCGGGAGGCCAGGCTCTAGGACCCCGAAGGTTCCACGCCACCCAGCAGCCCTCTCCTCGCCGGGGGGGCTGCAGTGGGAGCAGAGAGGGCAGGACGGTGGGAGGTGAGGAGAGGTGACAAGGCATGAGGCGGGGGGGGGGGGGGGGGGGGGGGGGAGGGGGGGGGGCTATCGTGGAGGCCGGCGCTCCGGACGCACGCCTTCTGGCTGCCGCTGATCGGCGCAGTGCCTCCCTGCGACCGGCCACCCCAGCCGGGCCACAGACACCGTGCAGGAGAAGAAATGTCGTTATTTTTTTTTTTTTTTAAAAGATTTTATTTATTTGTCAAAGAGAGAGGGAGAGAGAGCAAGCACAGGCAGACAGAATGGCAGGCAGAGGCAGAGGGAGAAGCAGGTTCCCTGACAAGCAAGGAGCCCGATGTGGGACTCGATCCCAGGACGCCGGGATCATGACCTGAGCCGAAGGCAGCTGCTCAACCAACTGAGCCACCCAGGCGTCCCGAAATGCCGTTATTTTAACCTGAGCTCTGAGGCATCTGATTCACGACAACAGAGCACAGTGGTCCACGATTTTTCTCTAGAACATAAGAGAAAGTACTGCTTTCACCAACTGGGAAGCCACTGAACACACGTTTGAAGCAAACGCAGATTTGACCCGTTTCCTGGTGTCCCGTGACTAACTGCCAATTACCAGAGATGACCAGTCGTGACCAAAACGACGACTCCAGGCCTCCCAGCCTCAGACGAAGACCGTCCGGGAGGAGCGAGTGGGCCCCATGGCGCCTGGCAGGGCTGGATCGCGCCAACAGCCCAGCCAGCAAAGGCCTGGCAGCCGGTGACACCAGAGCCAGACAGCCTCTGGAGGTCCACCAGCCTCCACGGTGCCGGCACTGGCTCCCCCGGCCCGAACACCCTCACGCTCACAGCACACCCCAGTTCCCGGATGAAGCCTGACCCGGCCCCACCCGGCTGGTGAAGACGACAGAAATCCCATCTGGGCTTGACGACCAACTTGGGGACACACCCGCCTGCTGCGAGCTGTGTGTCTACCTCATCTGCAGGTGCACGGCCCCCCAGAGCCAGTTCCTCCCAGGCGGCAGCCAACAGTGGACACGGGGGCGGGGGGCATCGCTGAGCAGCAGCGTGAAGACAGCGGGAAGCGCAGGAGAGAAGCGGGTCCGTCTGAACCACACAGACTAACTCAGCCAGCATCACCCAGAACCCCCACTCACCCCCGGGGTCCCGGTCTCAGCCCTCCCCTGACGGTGCTTTTCTAAAACACCACCCCCTTCACAGGACACTGAACATCTGAGAGACCTCGGGGCTCACCGTGGTAAGGGGTGGCAAGACCCGACCGAGGCCAGCAGGAAATCACCATCGCCTTTCCTGGGAAGAGCTCCGGCAGTGGATCTGTCTGTGCCCGAGCTATGAGACCCCTGCTTAGGTGCTGACCCCCCACTGCCGTCCCCTGTGGAGCAGCCGGCTGCCTCGTGCCGCACTCTGCTCCCTCCCCAGACGCCCACCCTGGGCTCTCCTGCAGGGGTGGGGGGAGGACCCGGGCTAGTCCCCACGTGCAGGGCGACGAGAGCAGCGCAAGCCCACCTCCCTCACCATGGCACAGGGCCACCGGGCTCCACACGGAAGGCCAGCGCAAGGTGGTCGCTGCAAGGGGTCGTCAGAGCAGCCTGAGGAGCGGCCCACCAGCGACGACGGGGACTATGAGGGGTGCACGTGGCGGAACTCCCTTCCCGAGGACGCATGGATTGGGAGCGCCAATCACACTTGACAAAGTCAGGAACCAC